TTTTTACAGTCTTTATTTTACAGTTAAAGTATATGTTTATTATATAAAGTCTAATGTTACAACTAATCATGGATCCATTTAAAGCTAAGATCCATTATTTAGCTGCAGCTGCTCAACGAAGTTCAATAAATAATAAGTTATAGAAGTATAGCTAAGATTTATTCACTGAATATTTCAATTGAAATGTATCCAGTGGTTCATGGAATATTTTGCTGACAGACCAGATGTGTTGGTTCCTCTCTACAGATGGGAGTGATGATGTGTTGGTTCCTCTCTACAGATGGGAGTGATGACCTTTCTTACGGAGAGCGTGGACCTGATGGTGTGTTTCTGGGAGTTGGAGAGGAGTGTCTGACAGCTCCAGATCCTCTCTCTTCTCAACGTTTTATAGAAACTCTTCCCATCTTTGGGCCTAGTATTTTACTCTTTGTACTTCTTTGCCGTCAGATTGTGTATCAGCTGTGTTCAAACACAATTCACAGCTGATAATAAAAAAAATAAATGATACCATAATATATGTAAATATATGCAGTTATCCAGGTAACATTTCATGTCAAACATTTCAGGAAAGGCTGACATTTTTTATCCTCAGTAAAAAGTTTCAGTCTGGTTGTAAAGTTTGTCACAGTCGTTTTAACTCTTTTAAATTTACTTTGATTCAGTTCATCACAGTTTTCTTTTATCAAGACTCTAAAATATTGGGGGTGTTAAAGGTTCAGTTTTATTGAGGTTTAGATCATATTTGTTAGGTTTTTTTCTCTGTCTGTGGGGGAATACAGCTTTTCCTCTACACATTTGTTGTGGTGTACCTCAAAGTTTATTATGGGTCTCATCCTGTTCTCTATTATTATTATTATTATTATTATTATTATTATTATTATTTTTTTATTATTATTATTGCCTTTGAGATCAATATTCAGAAAGTTTTGCTGATGACCTCTAAGTGTATTTCCTTTTTAAACTGTATGTCTCTGCTCCACTACAGCTTCAGTTTAAGTGTCGACCAGATGTCAAACATTAGTTAACTGAGAATGATAAAGACAATTGGACATGATGGTCAGGAACCTTGGAGTGATTTTAGACATTTTTAAATTTGAGAAGCAAAAATCCACATTTGTCCAAACCCGCTTTTATCAGTTACACCAACTGTTACAAACCAAGTTTTACATTCTTCATTGACCTCATGACTTCAGAGCCTCATCTTCATCTTTTAGATCCTGTAAAAAATAAAATAAAATAATTACACTTACCTTTAAATCTGAGTTCAGTTTGAGTTCAATCAAATCTTTTGTGTTGTGGCATTTCATTGTTTGGTTTAAAACATTTGAATTGTGTATTTAGGTGTTTCTGTGTGATGGTATTGAATTAATTTTTATGTTTGTTTGACTTCCATAGTTGTACTTTTTTCAGCTGTTCTTTCTTTCTGTTTTTAACATGTTGATGTCTGAAGAGTTTCAAATAAGTGTTTTTGATTCTAGAAGACAGGATAGATATGAGACAAATCAGTTAAATGAAAGTTTAACACGTTGTTTCTTCTCCACCAGCAGATGAAGCACATGCAGTGGTGGGATGTAACTAAGTACAAGTACTTTGTTGCTGTACTTAAGTACATTTTTCATGTATCTGTACTTTACTTAAGTAGATTTCATCATGGGTACTTTTGACTTTTACTCCACTACCATCCATCCATCCATCCATCCATC